TATATTGGCTCATCAGTTGATCTATTAATAATAATAATAATAATAATAATAATAATAATAATAATAATATTTTATATAACTGACTGTGCTTCTTGTACTGTAGCATACATGTATGTTGGACTATCCTTCATTGATAGATCATCAGCAGTACTGTATATGTGTGGGTGTGTATAATATGAACACAATCTGATAATCAGTAGTTTAACTAACTTTGTAGTATAAGCTGGACTGCATTCCATTTCAATCTCCTTATCTGGTTTTCTATGGAATTGTAAACTACTACAAATTTTAACATTAATTATAGCAAAAACATGTACCTCTTTTGCTTGATATTAGCTCTTTTTATATACACAACCAGTACCAGTATAATGATTATAGATACAGCCAATAGTGATGCTAATGCTGTCACACTAACTATCCATCCAGTAATAGTTCCTCCATTTTTCACTAATACAGTAGTTGACACTGTAGTCAATGCATGGGCGGTTGCAGAAATTTGGTTTGACCTGGGCATCAATAATTAGTGGGTGTGGAGTGGGTGTGGTTCCATACAATTTTGCAAGGAAAATGGACAATACTGATCTATAACTTCATTGAGATGATTTCTTAGCATAAAACAACAAAGAAGCCTGTTGAACTACCACAGTTTACACTGGATGCCCACACCAGAATCATGAATATAATTATTGGTCAAAAAGTCAACCTGGGCATTGCCCCCTAATGCCCAGGCCTGCAACCGCCTATGAGTCAATGGAGTAGTCAATGCAGTAGTCGTGGTAGTTGTCTCAGTAGAATATGAAACTAAAAACATAAACTGATTAATGCATGTATTAATAGTGATATGTTTACTAATATTGCTTTTATATAAACTGACCAATTATTTTACTTGTTGATGATGCTAAAATAGTGGCCAATGTGAGATCAGTAGCAATGCTTGGTTCTGTAAATATTTTTTAAAGTAATAAAGTTTATTTAAAATTTTACTTGATTCATCAGGAGTTGATTGTATTTCTTGTCTAGCTGGTCCATTCATATTATAATTATAAGGTATTATACTCACAGTATAGTTAGTATATAGTATTAATCCTGTGAGATTATACATTCTGTTGTCTCCTCCAGTGATATTAACAGTATAACTAGTGTTTGAAGTGATGTTAGTGTATGTGAGGTAGTATCCAGTGATTGGTCCATTCCTTCCATTGCAAGGTACTTCATCCCATGAGACAGTCATTGACACTGACTCTACTGATGAGAATATAATATCACCCACTGGTGCAGTAGGGGCTATAGAGAAAGGACTAATAATAAATTTCAATAATTCTTCACTGACTTACCAGTTGAGAGTGTAGTAACAAGATAATTAGTAATCAAATAAGCTAACTCAGCTCCATATACTCCACTAAGATCAAAGCCACATTGACTGTAAGGAGGTATACCAGTTGAAGTATGTGGTGATGAAACTGATGTTTCACTATTACTAGTGACTGATGATTCACATACTCTCCTACATCTCCTATTAATATTATAACTAATTGGTACTACAGCAGTTGGTGGACTCCATGTTAATATAATGGAAGTACTTGTCATTACAGTACTCGTTAAATCATTAACCACTGGATCACCTAAATAATATATTATACATAAATTATTTTAA